AAATCAATTCCATGAAGGAGATTTTAATGTCCTTTCTTGATTGTCAACAAACAGGGAGGAGTTTAAGTTCTCTCTTTAAAAAATAAAGAAAGTACATCCTGAAGTATCTTTGGTCCAGAATACTGCCTTTTCCTTCTCAAATTCTGTTAAATTTTAAAAAACAAAGTTGGGCAAATAGCCCAGTCTGAACAAGTTCAGTCTGAACAGAATTTCAGCTCCTTAAGTAAATGCCAAGTCATATATATATATATATATATATATATATATATATAACATATACACAGTAATAAATGTTAAGAACAAGCAGTGAACTATAATAAGTAGTTTTACTCGAATTTTAGAAACATACAGGGGAGAATGGGAGTGCTCATTATATTTTAAATATATCGTAAAATTAAAATTAATAAAATACCAACATGCAATCAAATTTTGAAAAACATGGGAAAGTAACACAACTACAAATATTCATGTTATTTGTGAGCAAGATTTTTAAGAAAATGTTTTTAATTATGCCATAAATTTCTAAACACCTAAAATTAAACAAGAAATTTGACTAATTGGGTTACTGTTTCTTAGGTTCTTCTAAATTTGTCAACTAGATGACATGTCCCTATCCTATATTTTGTTGATTCAATTATACCATGGATTATCTCTGAATTAGGGTAAGACTGTCTATAACCAAAAAAATGGTAGCAAAACATAGACTAGTTGTTAGCAGTGTAAATTTTAAAGCCATATTTCCTGTGTTCAAACTCTCTCTAGCTACCCCAGTACTATACTATGTCACCTAGCATCAGCTACCTAATGTCTGTCTTGATTTCTTGACTCATGAACAATAGTAGTGAATACACATTAGAAATTATTGTGGTGAAACTTAAATGAAATATGTAGAAAACTTTTAGAGAACAAATAGTAAGCACTCAAAAACATGAAGATAAATTAAAATTAATATAACGAACTTAGAATCACAGTTGCTCATGTAATGCAAGCTACTGCTATTCCTTAATGCCAGTATTCAGTGAACTACAACCAGCAGAACTACCCATTTGAAAAATCAGCTAACTGATCCTACAGCTGACAAATGGAATTAGAATCTCTTGGGGCAAGATCCCAGGAATCGACATCCTGGAGGGCAGGCCAGCTGGAAGACAGTCAGTCTCTGCTCTGTGCACCTCCAGGACATGTCAGACAGCAAGACCAGATGGAAGACAGTGAGTTTGCAATCCAGGTCTCCTGCCTTGCATTCCTGAGAGCTGGCCAGCTGAGAGACTGACAACAGGAACTGCAAAACCCAGGACAACAGCCCAGTGCACAGACATGCACACATACCTTTGGAGGGTGAAATAATCAGCAAGGCCAATACTGTGGAAGCATCTATAGCAGCAGTGAGGAGACAGTGTTGCACCTTGGAGAAGGCCACCTACAGAATACCAGTCCCAGCCCCCACATCTAGAGACTGTGGATTGGCTCCATACCCAGTACATCTCTAGGATACAACATGGACATTATACAGAACTGTAAACACTAGAAGAACGTAGTTTCTTGAGATAGCTATAAAGAACCAACTACATCTAGAGGACTTCCCTAAGGAAAGGACACCTTTCCTCCTTGAGAGAGGCCTCAGTGCTACTGGTAGAGCTATATGTCATGGGAGGTTGGTGAGCATCAACATAAAAGACAAAGTAAAAGACAAAAAGAAGGTAGAGAATGGCAAGATTGCAGAGGCAAGGTGCAGCCCCCAAACAGGCCTGGAGCTCAATGAAGTTAGAAGTCAACTTTCTGACTTTCTGAAATGATAACAGAAGTAAAAAACAAAACAAAACAAAACAAAAAAAACAAGTGGAAAAGGCTTTGGAGGGAAAATGATCTCTCAGGTACAAAAAGAAATGATACTTAAAACCAAAGATATTAGAGAAGACACAAATAGAAGAATAGATGAGCTTAGAAAAATATGGAGGCAAAAAGTGGCCAACATGGAGAGAAACAGAATCCATGAAACATACACAAAAAGAGATTGAAGAGATTAAAACTTCTGTGAAATTACATGCAATAGATTGAAATCAAGGAACTGTAGCTAGTAATCATGAAAAGAAAGAGTCGTGAGTTCGATCCCTGGTACCAGAAAAAAAGAAAAAAAAAAACGCAAGAGATCATGAGAAATCAATCCAACAGCTACAAAACAAAGCAAAGAAGAATAACACAAGATTGATTGGGGTCAATGAGAAAGCTGGAGACAGCATATATGCCTTAACAATAATAAATATATATACACGTAATACAAGAGCACCCAACTACACAAGACAGCTATTGGTGGACGTGGAAAATTAAATAAGCACTAACACAGTTGTAATAGGATACCTCAATCTCCCATTATCACAGAGAGACATATAAACTAGACAGAAAATCAGCAAAGAAATATCATAGCTGAACCACACCTGTGAACAAATGGACTTAATAAGAAGAAGCTACACTCTAAGACCAAGTGCTAGCAGCCTGGAAAGATCCAGCGAACCAAGCGCTGGCTAGAGATACCATGCCCTGAGGACCTACCACTATCAGGGGAACATCTGTGAAACACTGCCTTGTGCCTCTCCACCATCCCAGGAACCCCAAATCGGAGGAGCTCAGATGCCAAGTCCAATCCTCTGCACCAAGGAACTGGCAGCAAATGCAGGAAGCACCTGGGATGCAGCAGTGGGCTGATTTGGAGAAACACAGGAAAATGTCCAGATGAAGGCGTAAAATACAATCTCAGACCTCCAGCCTACACAAAACAAATTCAAGAGACTTGGACATAGTAGAAATTAGAGATCACACACCTGAAATTTCTGAAAAGATAACAACTGAAGTAAAAAAGTAACTTAGTTCTTTCACTGATTGGATAATTTTACATACCCATGTCTGATGGCCTGGACAACTATTTGGAAGATAACAAGAAGCATTATGACAGCCACTGTTAATTTCCTATTATCTTGTTTTGAAGTCCTAAATAGTTTTCACCATTTTATTTTGTTTGGCTTTATTCTATTTTGTTTGATTTTATTATGTCTGATGGAATAGGCAGCTATTTTGAAAATAACAGGACACAGTATGATAGCCATTATTGATTTCCTATTATCTTGTTTTGCAGTCCTATATCACTTTCATTGTTTTTTAATTGGTTTTATTCTGTTTGATTTCATTTGATTTTATTCTCTTTAAAATTAAAGAACCAAAACAATCCCAGGAATCTGCATCCTAAGTGATTCTCATATATACCACAGTTCAAGAAGTAATGCATTGGGGGTTGGGGATTTAGCTCAGCGGCATTAGCACCTGCCTTGCAAGCAGGCGGTCATGAGTTCAATCCCCGGTACCAATGAAAAAGACAAAAAAAAAAAAAAAGAAGTAATGCATTAAGCTTAATTATACTCAAGAATACCTCTACATTTATCTTTTTGTTTTATTTCCGCATTGGAAATAAACTCTACTTATCCCCACTCATTTAAATCCTTTAATAATTATTAATTTACTGTCTAATATGTGCCAAGTATTATTAATCAAGAGAAGGGTCCACGTTCAACTTTTACCTTACTGTGACAACCTGGTTGAAAAAGAAAATTAACTCAGAACAACTAAGTTTGCTGTCAGCTGGATAATTTCTAGGGTTGACATGAATACCTTTAAAGAACATGGATTCATGTTAGTGGAGTCAACAAAAATAAGCCATTTCAGCTATTTCTTCACACGTACACAACTATTACATTTTCCACAGAAATTGGGAAATTAGGGCTAATATGGAAAGTAAATGTGACTTCACATGCCAACTCTAAATAATTACTTATAGTAATGGTATCAATTGCAACCTTGAGTGCTTCATTCAGGATTAAGCTGATCCTCAATTTTAGCAAGAGAAGTCTGATTACTATTTACTACCATAAATGAAACCTTTGAGCCAGGCATGGTACTGTATGCCTGTAATCCTAGCACTTGGGAGGCTGAGGCAGGAGGATCATTCAAGTTTGAGACCAACCTGGGCTACAGTGTGCTCAAGGCCACTGAACTTCATAGGGAGACCTTGTCTCAAAAAGATTAAAAAATTTTTTTTTAATTTTAAAAAACCTTTGGAAGCAAGTAACTGAACTCTCCTAGGCTTCAAATTCCTTACTGGAAGGTCATCAGGCCCCCTCATCCCCATTTTCTTTCCATGTCCTGATTAAAATCAATTATCTTGATTGTTCTGTGACCCAGTTAACTAGAGATTTTCCAAGTTGGAGCCCTGAACATTTCGTTAGTCTCTGAAGCACTAAAACTTACCGTGGCCCTGAACCAAAATTCCTCAAACTCTCATATAAACCCGATACCCTGACCCGCTCGCTGCAGCCATACTTGGAATATCCCTTTTCTCTCAAAGCTTGTCCTGCGGACCAGCCGCAGCTCCTGTAAATTCCCCTTGTAAATGCTTCGGACTGACAGCTCCACTATGTAGCGCTTCTTTCTTTAGAACCCCAACCAGCTCCACTTCCAGTCAGTTTGGAACACTACTTGGCGAGAACGTCACTGACATTTCCCGGGGGATAAAGAGACAGAGGGAAAGAGAAAAAAAAGCAAAGAGAATACGGAGCTGAAATTTTCAACAGTCTGCAGATTCCTTAATACTTGTCCCTCCCTAACAGAGTACTCGCTCCCTCTTTCAGTTTTAGTTCTCCCGAGTTGCCTCACGCAGGCGGGCTGACTGCTTTTCACCAGAGGGAGCCCTCGAGCAGAACCCCAGGAAAAGGAGGCCGACAAGCTAGAGAAAGAGCAAGGCCGCAACACCTAGCGCCCGGTCTTAGAACTTTGGGAGACATTGTCCTTCAGATCTGAAGACTCAGAGCAAGACCCCGCCTTCCAAACCAGTGGCTCCACCCCGGGCCAAGGGTAGGAACCCGTCGCTGCGTCACTCGCCAGGGCCTGTAGGCGGGACGCTGCCCCGGAGTGTGCGGAGGCGACGTCTTGTCACGTGATCACGTCCAGCCAACCAATAGGTGAGTGTGGCGGGGAATTTCGAATGTGGCGGCGACAGTAGCGGGCGACCGGAGACTTTGCCGCAGGCCTGGAGCGCTGGAACGCGGGGCTCACGCGAGTCGGGACGGATTGGCGGAGGCTTGAGATGTGAGGAAGAGGGCGACAGCTGGCCCAAGGTACCGTTTTGGACGCGCCTTAAAGAGGCTCACCCATGTCCCTTCCGTCAGCCCCCTTCCGCATTTCCCTGCCCCTCCGAGAGAAAGGCCGTAAATTTTCCGGGGCGGAACCAAGGCTACCCGTTCAACCTCTCTCAGGGCCTGAGTATATTTAATAAATTCGGTGGCCGCAAGCTCTTGCTGTGGGGTCAGAACGACCTGGCTCCTCTTGCTTCTTAGCCACCTTATTTGCGTTTTCCCTCTTCCTTTAAATAAATGGGAACCTGAATCTCCTCGTCTGCTGAATTGTTTAGAATAAGCGATGTGCAGAAAAACCATTTACGTAGTCAGAAGCCGATCTCTGCATAAGGACATACAAAAGGCAGCTGTTTCTTTGTGCAGTCTGCCACCGTTATCATGTTTTTCTTGTCCAGAACTTTAGCTCCCTTGGTTATGCAACAGAAACCGACAGGGACTAGTGCAGCAGAACTGATCACAGAATATAGGCAAGGAATTTCAGGTTCTTTTGAGTATCATGCACATTGAGACCATCATTTCACACTAACTTGTATTTTCATCCCTTCTGCCACACCCCTTTATTGTCACCATTGGCCTGGACAGGAAGTAAGACTTCTGATATAGAAAAAAATTTTTTTGTAATTTTAGCTTACTTAGATGCAATAACAAAAGTTGTTTCAGATAAGGCTTTGCTTTTTAAATCTCTAAATTAAGTCAGGGTCTTGCCGCCTAATACAGACTGGCCTTGAACACACTATCTAACCCAGACCGGCCTTGAACTCGCAGCGATCCTCTGCCACAGCCTCCCTAGTGCTGGTATAACAGCCATGTGCCACCATGCTCGGCTTGCCTGGCTTTCAAACATCTTTAGTTCAAACTTCAGAAACCTCATCATAGTAAATTGTTTCATACAACGACATACTATTAGTGTTTTTTAAAAAGTTAAAACACTTCTACTGGAAGCATACTAACATATTATATGTACATTAATAGAAACAAAATATTTAAATTGAACTACAATATCTTAAGTCCCAGAGGCCTGTAGAAAATATTCAGGAAAATCTAAAAAAACACTTGACTCGGGAGATGAAGATATTCTTTATAGTGAAAGTTGTATACATAGATTGTTAAAGGAAACAGGTTTTCTTTTTAAACAATTTTAAGATCTGTAAAGTACACGACACACTATTGGAAAACTGTTCATGAAAGCAGGATTTAACGGTATATGCCTATAATCCCAGCACTCTGGGAGGCTGTGGCAGGAATATTGCAAGTTTGAGCCCAGCCTGAGCAACTTACGAATTCTATCTCAAAATAAAATTTTTTAAAAGTCTGGGGCTTTTATAAGTTCAGTGCAAGGGCCCTGAGTTTAATTCCCAGTACCACATAAGAAAAAACAGTTGTTCAAGCTTTCTAGCATGCTGAAGGATATCTAATTTGTAGCACTGAAAGATTTAATATACCTTGTATGTATTTTAACATTGAGTAGCATATATTGTTGGTGTGTGTTTTCCTGCTTTTAACTGTATGTCATGTTTATTTAATGTCCTATTTACTATATTGATAACTTGTTGGAAGTTAGTAAACTTCAGATTTAGCAATAATTGAGGTTACTAACATGTTCTCTGCTCTGGTTCCTGTTTTTTCCACCTCAATAATTGTCATAACCTATTAGAGTTGTACACAGTGCTATGTAGTTTAAAGCTCTGAGAATCCCCTCGGCTTTCTTGAATATTTATGCCTATCTTAATACTGTGTGAAAAGTGTGGGAGAGAGACAATTGGTTGAGTGACCTAATCTAATAAATTAATAATTTTTAAAAAGCTAAAAAACAAAACTATGTATATTGCTTCTGAATGAATGCTGTAATCCCATGCACTGAAAGTTGGCCATGAACATTGTAAGAAGCATAAATAATAATGGCATTAAAATATAATAATAAGCTGGGTGAAGTGGTACATGTCAGTGTGGCCCCAGCTACTTGGGATGCTAAGACTAGAGAATACATTGAGCCTACAAGTTCAGGTCAGCCAGGACAACATAGCAAGATCCCATTTCAAAATAAGAAATTTAAAGGACTGAAGGTGGACCTCAGTGGTAGAGGAATGGCCTAGCATTCATGAGACCCTGGGTTTAATTCTCAGTACCACCAAAATAAGAATAAGAATAAGACACTGATAAGTGTCTGGACAGTGATGGCAAACTTATGGCACACATGCCACAATGGGCTGATTTTATCATTGAAAGTTCTCTAAGGTTCATTATTGCTGGTCTAGAATATGTCTTCAATGAGTATCTGTTAAAGAATAAGTGACATATTATGGAATCTTTATGCTGGAAGTCAGTATTCAATAATATTTCCTTATGAAGTGGCTGAGGAGAGTTACATGTCAAAAATATTAATTTTTCAAAGGAGGCACTGTATGATAAGCATGAATGATTCTGACATCTGTTTCGTGTTTTTGCTTTTGAGATGAGGTTTTACTATCTTGCCCAGGCTGATCTCGACCTCATGATTGCCCTGCCTCAGCCTCCTGAGTAGTTGGGATTACAGATGCACATCACAATGCCTAGAAATTAATGAAATTTTAAAGCTACAGAATCAAAAGTATCACCAGGTTAGTTAGCTACCTACTTTGAGTTAATTCCAGTTAAGTTGCCACTTAATTCCTTATTAACGACTTGTATTTTTTATTTTAAATTTATATTTAATATCTCTGACAAAAATATTTTCTGTTGTTTTAAATTTGTAGGCAAAAGATGGCCAAAGAAAGGTGCCAGAAAAAGACCTTTCAAGATAGTCTTGAAGACATAAAGAGGCGAATGAAAGAGAAAAGGAATAAAAACTTGGCCGAGATTGGCAAACGCAGATCCTTTATAACTGCACCAAGCCAAATAACTAGTAAGCGCTGTTTATTTTGTCCTTTTATATCACCTATTACATTTATGTTTAATAATTGATAAATTTACTTTATCCTCTTTTAGCCAACACTTATACACTGCTGAAAAATTACCAAGACAACAACAGAATGTTAGTTTTAGCTCTGGAAAATGAAAAATCCAAAGTAAGAGAAGCCCAAGATATCATCCTACAACTAAGAAAAGAATGTTACTACCTTACATGTCAGCTGTATGCACTGAAAAAAAAACTCACTTCACAACAAACAGAAGATGATACTGCTCAGGTATTTTTATTATAGAGACTGAATTTCTTAGGGAAGCAACCTAATCACTGAATAAAAAACTTAGATCCTGGCTCTAGCCCAGTTATTTTGTATGACCAGTTAAGAAAATTTCAAGCATATAGGTAAACAAAGATTATAACTGCTTTGACTTGGGTCTGAAAGCAGATAGCTAAGCGGCATGCAGAAAAAAACTGTTTAGCTTTTTGCACTGCAAGTCCTGCTTTGAATGCTTAAATTACGTGAGTCAGAGGTTGGACAACTAAGCTAAAGGTCTGCAAGTGTTTGCTGAGCTAGACTAGTCCAAAACTTTAAATCAGTGTCATCTTAAATTTATCTTTTCTAGATAGTTTTGCTTTATCCATTGAGATTTTATAAGAAATACCTTCATTTGGCCTTGGGGAGTAATTAGGTGCTTTTGAAGAATCATTTTTAACCTAGGTGGCTAAATAAGGAAGTCTGTATAACTCTCAGAAAAGGAAATATCCTAAACATTTGGCCAACCATATTTCAATCTGATTCTGTTTGTGACGAAAAGTTAAAAAGCAGGGGCCTATATGATCCTGCCCGCTCAAAATATGGACAGGTTTGCTCAAGGACATTCTCTGTGTTTCATTGTATGATAAGTCTGAGAAGAGTAATGATGAGCCATTTTCTCTTTTCTTTTCTCAGAAGCCACTGCCAGGGAAATTAGATGGGGAAGAGAGGGAGGAAATCTGTGGTGAGTGTCAGTGTTAGCAGGGTGGTTTGCTTTCTCCCCAGTGGCCATCTGTTTGCTGTGCCAGTGAAGATGGCACACTGGTACTTAGGCCAGAAGGCCAGGTAAAAAGCCAGACCACAATGACTGGGATAAGACAACATGAGACAGAAACTGAAGTCACTGTTCTGTTCACAGCAGAAGTGAGAAAATGTTCTTCCTTTTTGTAACTAAAAATGATTATTCATTTTAACTACATGTGATAAAGCACATGTGGAATATATACATGTAGGATGTACATACATAGTTGAGTTGCCTTTTGTGAAGATCAGGTATGATTTGTTTACCTTTGTGTAACTTATTTATAAAATGTTTTTTTCTTCAAGAATATCATCTTTCAGTTCTTTCATTTCCTTGTTCAGTCAGTAGGAAAAGCCCTCCAAAGGCATACCAGACTTCGTTCTCCCTTTCCAAACTTTTATTAAATCACACGGTAATAGGAAATGAACACTCAAAAAAAAGAATTATAAAATAGCAGGAGAGTAGTGTCCTATTGTTGTGGGCCTTTTAACATTTATCCATGATTTTTTTTTTTTTTTTTTTTTAGTGTTTATGAAAATATATTAGTTGCTGAGCACATGCAGCCTCAGCATTTGAAACATCAAAGTTTATTTTCTGTCATATGCTTATTATATATGTTTCTCATTCTCAATCATTTCACACTTGTGTTTCAATGTTTAAATCGACTTTAGTGTAGTATTTCTAGCTGGGACTCAGGCCTGTAATTCCAGCACTCTGGAAGCCTAAGCCAGGAGGATTCAACTTCAAGCCCAGATTGAGTAGCTTACTGATTTAGCAAAGCTTATTTTTTTAGGACTTGATTTTTTAAAAAATAAAAAAGAGCTGAGGATATTGCTCAATGAACAGGCTCTGGTTCAAACCAAAAAAAAAGATTTTCTAGTTATTTTATTTCTGGTGAACAGTTTTAGCCTATTCATTATAAAGTCAGTATATTGTAAGTTCATCCCATTTCTTTTTTTTTTTTTTTTTTTTTTTTTTTTTTTTTTTGTCTTTTTCATTTTTATCGGTACCAGGGATTGAACTCATGACCACCTGCTTGCAAGGCAGGTGTTTATGCCGCTGAGCTAAATCCCCAGCGCCAGTTCATCCGATTTCAAAAACCACTTGAGTTCAGTCAGAATGAAGTCTTATGAGTTAGACAAGCACTCTTGTCTTTAACCTAGATCTATAAATCTCCTTATGCCTATACTTGTGCTTCCCTACATCCCTTCTTGTTACATGGCAGAAGTATCTGCACCTACGAGCCATCCCCATGTGAGAGTTAAATCCCCTTCCCTCACCTCCTTTAAACTTTTGTCCCTAGAAATTTGTTCTCCCTGTGCCTCTCTCTACTGCATTGTCCAGCCATCTTCTAAAGATGGTTTAGTACCTCCTGCATTAAAAGGAAAGGAAAACAAACGAAACCTCTCTCCTTGTCCCAGACAATGTCTTATTTCATTTCTCTGCTGTTCTTCACAGCAGAACCTTTGCAGAAAAATGCAGTCACTGTCTTCATTTCTCAGCTTCCATTCACATCTCAAATCTTTTTTTCTGGTGCTGGTGATACCAGCGCTTACACTCAGGGTCTTTGCACTGAACTACATCCTAGCTTCTTTTTCCTGGTTTTTGTTTTGTTTTGATTTTGAGACAGTGTATCACTAAGTTGCCCCGGCTGGGATCTAGTTTGCAATCCTCCTCTTTCAGTCTCCTAGAGTGCTGAGATTAGAGGCATATGCCGCCACATCCAGCTTTCAAACCATTCTTTTCTTTTTTAAGGACTGGGTATAGTAGTGAACACTGAAACAGGAGAATCACTGCAAGTTTAAGGCCAGCATGGACTACATAGTGAGTTCAGGGCCCAGCCCAAACTACATAGTGAGACCCTGTCATTGTTGGGAGGCTGCCCTAGGAGGATCGCTGCAAGTGTGAGGACTACACAGTCAGTTCAAGACTAACTTGGGATACATAGCAAGAGCCTGACTCAAAAAAAGCCAGCAAGAAATAACATTATTAGTACGTGTTTACAGTACATGATTACATTCATTGTAGGGAGTTGTACATGTACATAACACATCCATTCTTATCCTCCTGTCCCTACCATCTTATCATTACTGTGTATCACAGTCACCAAAACTGAAACCTCCTTATTACTAGATTCAGTGGTCACTTCTGCTTCTCACCCTCACAGTAACATACAAAAGAGACTAACTTTGATCTCTTTGCTTTATTGACACCACACTTCCCTAGTTTTCTTTCGGCCCTCCCAACTGTCCAGTGTTCGTCTGCTCTGTTGGCTACTTGTTTATTGTTAAAGGCCAGTAGTACTAGACTCATCTCCTGCCCTAGCTTTATATAATGTCTGCCAGCTGATGCTTTCAAATTCATAGCTCAAGACCTACACACACGTACACACACAGAGCTACTACTTGATTCACATCAATGTTTGGAAAGGATCTCGTATATAATATACAACTGTTTTTTCCTGTCCCAAACATACTGAATACTTCCACCTCCCTCTGTAATTCTCTCTCATCCCAGTCAAGGGGCGTACTCATCTGCTCAGGCCAGAACCACAGGAAGCTTCCTTCTCCTTCAGTGTCTTCACTTAATCCATGTTCAACCCTTGCTCACAATTCTTTATCTCAGGGCCTTTCAGTGGGCTTCACCTCTACATCATGTCTTGATTTCTGTGATGATTTCATAACTCCTTGACTCCATTTTTATTTTTGTTCTTTTGAGACAAGGTCTCAACTGTGTAGTTCACACTGGTCTTGACCTCACTGTGTTCTCCTGGCCAGCCTTGAACTTGCAGCAGTCTTCTTGCCTCAGCCTCCTGAGTGCAGGAATCAGGTGTGCACCAGCATGCCCAGCTCCCTTGGCTTTGGTCGCATGTTGCACACAGACCATACTGAATTTTAAATCTTCTCATTTTATTTCCTTGCTTAGTACTTGTATCTTCCCGTCACACTGAGACTAAATTCCACACTTTGACTCTCAAGGCCTTACATTATCTGATCTCTGAATATACATCTCCTGCTAGTCCCAGTGATTATGCTCCAGCCACGTCGCTTTTTCTGAAATTACAACAGAGTTTGCCGGTATGATGGCATTTTTATTTGCTGTTTCCACTGCTGCTACTTCCTCCTACCTTTTAAGTGGCGGATAATTTTGCAATCTTCAGTCAAATACACTTTAGAGAAAGAGCCTTTCAGCCTGTTCATTCTTTGTCATTCCACTCTGGTATCTCCTTCATAGCACTCACAGGTATCTCAAACGTATAATGATCTGTTTTCTTTTCTTTTTAATTTTGTCCGTCTACACCAGGGTATAAGTTTCAAGAGGATAGGATTTTATCTTCTGGTTATAATCCCAGTTCATAAAACTGCATGGCATTGTGAGATATGATCAGTAAGCGTGTATTACTGAATAAACCAATTCTTTATTGTAAATATTTCAGTATTTTCTTCTATTTTAATGCATTAACAGAACCAGGAAGTATGTCTCACAGGAATGGACTCCAATAATGACGACAACTCTGGAGATTTATTTGCAAAGGATTTACCGTTAGTATTAAATTCATTACTATGGTTATTAATACCAAGATAGAGTTAATTCTTTGTGAAAAGAAATTTATGTCATACTGCCTTATATTTGGAGTCAGATGGTCCCTCTCTACTGAGAATATATTTAAGAAAATTTTTTGAAATATATAGACAGATAAGTTTCTTTTTTTTTTTTTTTTTTTTGTCTATTTCCTTTTTATCGGTACCAGGGATTGAACTCACAACCACACACTTGCAAGGCAGGCGCTTATGCCACTGAGCTAAACCCCTAGCCCAACAGATAAGTTTCTAAGAATAATAAACTTCATTAAAATTTTTTAACTGTTTCCTTCAGTCATCTTTTCCTCTATATCATATTTTTTATATAAGAAATTGGCAAGTTGTTAAAATTACCTCTCTAAAAATTGTCTGGTTTAAGAAAAAACATGTATTTAACATACCTCTCACACATTGATGCAATTTCTTATCTGTCAGATTTCACATACCCTCTTCTTTTGAATCCAATACACTTTATATTTGCATATGAATTAGATTTAATCACAGATCTTAATTAACACATTTCAGTGAGTCTAAGATACATACCTAGAAAATCAAAGACTCAATTAAAATAGAACGCTGCCCTCATTCTGGCTCAGGGCTTTTCAGTCTTGGTACAATGGATGTTGTGGGATTTTGGAGCATTTTTTACCCCCACCCATTTGTTGTTAGTAACATCCCCTCCCCAGTTCTGAGAAGCAAAATGATTTCAGATATTACCAAATCCCCAGGAAGGATAACTGCCCACAGGTGAGAACTATTGCCATAGGCTATTCCCTGGATCCCTTAAAATCCATCCTCATCTCACTGAAGTAACAAAAAATATGTTTGCTTTCAGTCATTATTAGCTTTTAAAGTGTTAAGTTGAAGACCTGACAAAATATGTCATGAACAAAAAGACACAAATCAAGTTTTTATAGGATTTCTAAAGTAATCATTAGTTACTATAACTCTATTGCCTAAACCTATATTTAATTTTTGAAATTTAGAGTAGAAAATTCTGTATACAGAATAAAAAAATAAAACTCCAGTTAGGATGAAATTGCCAATAATAGGTTTTAAAAATAAAGTTCTTGAGTCATGAACCAGAGAACAACGTTTAAGAACTTCAGAAGAGTTCAGTGGTTGAAACCATATATTACCAACAAATCACAGCTCTGTTAATGATGAAGCAAACAAGCTCTAAGGACTTTAGCAACCAAACTGCACGTTTAAAAACAAACTCAATTTGGGTTGGCCATTTTCCAGTTAAATGAAATTGAATTATGTGTGACTTAATATTAGTTCTTCCAATGGAAGTCAAATGTCAGTCATAACAAGTCAGCCTTTGTGTAGTTACCATAACTATTTCTTGTGTCCTTTTATACAAAACAGATGTATTGATTTGGAATGGAATTATGAAATGATACTAAAGGAAAAAAATTTTAAATTTAGGGAAATATATATTTTATATATATATTTTAAACATAATTGATAAGTAAATTTCTTTTTTTCATTGGCATTGTCAAAGGCAAGTTCCTTTTCAAGAAACTGACCTTCCAGCACATGGAGAATCATTCCAACAAGAAGGTAATTCCAGTAAAAATCTGAAAATATTAAAGACAAAGAACTTTGGAGACAAGCAACATAAACTTCTCTAATTCTCCTTTAACTTTGTAAATCTATTAATCTGGTGTTTTCAAGGCAAATCAGTTTATTTTCATAATAGCAACATAAGTGAAAATAATATAGTTTAAATTCCATCCATCCATTATGTCAAATCTGTAACGAGCAATCTTGACTACAACTATGGCTGCGGTTTACTAAGCCCTACTATGTGTTAGCCTCTGTATTAGGTGTTTTATATATATATTGTCTCATTTAACTTTCACAGCCATCTAGAAATATATGTACTATCCATTGCATTTTATATAGACTCACAAAAGTAAAAACACTGCAAGAAATAATCTGGATGGTAAGAAGGGTTTAAACTCGAAGCTGAGCTCCAAAGCCATGTTCCAGTTTTCCAATACCTGCTTTGAAAAAGGGGCAGTACTGGTATAAGCAAAGCCCACTTTTCCTATAAATACATTATATTTCTTACCTGAAAACCCTTTTAGTTATACAAATTTTATTAACTTTTCAAAGAACACTTAGTGCTCCCTTTTTCCATGTGTCTGTCCAACTTTGGAACCTGAGGTTCTGTTCCTCGGACTCTGCTCAAAACAATCATTTTTCTTTAAACCTTTGAACCAGGAGCACATAAAACCTATGCTCAAATATCTTTGGGAATTTTATAAAATTCTTACACAAGTTAACATAACCATCAGTTGATGGTTGACAGGTAAATAGATGGCAAGTCTTTTAGATTTTTTACTCAGAATGACTTTTACATAACTTTGAATCCTAAGATTGTTGAAATTAAAATTACCAAAAAAAGATTCAAATTGCAAAAAGTAAAACTGTGTTTCTCATTCTTTAAAATTCCTAGAGCAAATTCTTTGTACTCAAGACACAGTGGGATCTGATTTTGATTCGGGTGAAGCTAAACCTACTACTAATGTCTTACCTAGAACCGTATCACTCCGTCGCCACATAAAGGAACATCTTAACACACTAAGTCAGCCTGATACTTTGGGTGATTTTGAAACCAGTCATTTGTCTTTTGAACTGGAAAGAATAAGATATGTAGACCCAGCAGTAAACATGCTCATACCAGGAAATGAAGAAAAAAGTGTCTGTCAGTGGAACAGAGACAAAATTAATTTATCACCAAGGCTGATTCAACCAGGAAAGTTTACCAAAATGAAAGAGGTCATTTTAGAATCTAAATCTGAAAAAGAAAGTAAGCACAGAGATGTACAACTAGGAAAAAAAGAGAAAAGAAAAGCTAACAGAAGAAAATCTAAGTCTACACCAAAGCATAAAAGGAATAAAAGTAAAAATCAAAAAACTGTTTGCTCTCAAAAAATGGATGAATCTTTCAGTTCCACTGATGCTTATAATTTTAATTTGGAAGAGGGCGTTCATGTCACTCCTTTCCGACAAAAAGGAAACACTGATTCTGATAGAGAAGAAAACAACAGTAAGTCTCAAGTGAGTATCTGTGAATCCAGCAGTTATGAAGATGATTCTGATGATCTCTATGTACCTGACTGTAATTATACTGAGAGTCTCACAAGCTTATCAGATAGACCAATCACCAGGCCTCAAAATAAAAGAGCGTTAAACTACACAGATATACAAGAGATGGAGGATTCAAAGCCAACAAAAACTCCTACCGGTAAGTAGGATCTTGTTTGCCTGCATGTTTAATACTTATGGTAAATGATGACTCCTGGTGCTTATATACTACTATCTTTCACCATCTGTTTCTCTGGGGGAGGTTAGAGACTTAACCATCTGTGTCGCTTTGGAGGTAGCTACAATCTGACTAAATAGTGAGGGGCAGGGGGTAGAAATCACAATTACGTCACTCTGACCTACTTCAAGCAAATTTAAATCTTTAGCAATAAATATTGCTTGTCATGGAGTTAATAATTTTTTGTCTTCACTAAATAAAACCTCCTGGATTGGAGGTGAGAGGCTTACAGGCGTGGAATAGGGGAAATGTTTGTGAAATTATGTTGAAAATGAAATCAAACTTGAATCCAGTGACTTGGCATTTGAATGGCTTGCTTTATATTTAACAGGAACCATGATTAAAACAATTGTCTAATTAATGAAGGTACACTAATGAGACCAAGAAATTTTTTCCTTAACTGGCCCACTCTTCTTTTGTAAGACAATTAAATCTTAAACTTATTAGATCAAAAATACATGTGATTACAATATTATTGTTAATACATCCTGCACCTGCCCACAGAGATTCTCCTCTGGGAATTTTAGTTGATATCAAAACTAGCATTTTTAAAACTCTTAAAGTGGTGGTGCACTCCTGTAATCACAGCACTTGGAAGGCTGAGGCAGCAGAATTGTTTCAAGTTCGAGACCAACCTGCACTACAAAGTGAGGCCAAGGCCAGCCTTAACCACATAGCAAGACACTTTCAAAAAGACCAAAAAAAAATCTTAAAAGTATTGTCCATTTCAGTATTTCATTGGTCCTCAGAACAATTATGAATAATCATGTTCATTGTTTATCCGGAAACTAAAGCCCAAAAACAGTGAATCATGTTTCCTAGTCAACCAGTTCAGCAGTGGTAGCTTATAAATACCTTTCTTAAAAAGTATGCTGTCCTAGTTCAATGGTAGGATGCTGATTTAGCATGGATGAGGCCCTAGGTTGGATCCCCAGCACAGCAAAAAGCAAATAGTCATTATGCTGTAATGAGTAAATCAAACAAGATTGGTAAAATCTTAATCATTGAAGCTGAGTAACATGAGATTCATCGTACTATGGTTACCATCTTTGTTTTCTTTTCAAAAATCCATAATTTTTGAAAAGAAAACACTCTTAAATAGTCTGGTTCCTATTAGCATCAACATTACCTGGAAACGTAAAATTGCCAACTCACAGGCCACCACCCATGGGTCAAATTAGAATTTGCATCTCTCCAGTCAAAGTCTTACTGTGTAGTTCAGACTGGCCTTGAACTCAGTGTGTAACCCAACCTGGCTCCAACTCTCAGCTACACTTCTGCCTCGGCTTCTCAAGCACTGGGATTACAGGCATTTGCCACCATGCATGGCTGAGAATTTGTATCTCTTTAACAAGTTTACCCTGTGAATTCATAAATACATTAAAGTTCTGGAACCATATTACAGCAACTGATTTAATAGGTTACTTATAGGTATTTTTCAAAATACAAATTGCAATAATAGCATACAGTATGTTACTGGTGACAAAAAAAGAGACTGTGAAACCCAGCTAACCTTGGATGCATAATATAAAATCATTTCAGTTTTTCTTGGGATATAATTTACTTTTTAAAGCTACTTAAAATAGTTGTCTATACAGCTGGGTATGGTGGTGCAGGCCTATAATCCAAGAACTCTGGAGGCTGAAGCAGGAGGATCCTTGCAAGTTTGAGGCCAGCCTGGGCTGCAAAGTGAGTTCAAGACCAGCCTGAACTGCATAGGGAGACCCTGTCTCAAAAAGACAAAAAAAAAAAAAAAAAAAAAAAAAATAGTTTAGCAGTGGCATCCTTGCTAGGTGTTGGATACCTACCTCCCAAAACTGTAAAAGTGTACCTCCAAAACAACTTGTATGTTTACATAGGAAAAACACTGATGACTTGCATCTACCATAATTAGTATTTCAGTACTAGCTAGCCTAAAAAAGAAAAAAATAGTGAAAAGGTTTTTAAAAATCTGTATTATGCCATATTTTATGTACATTTGAGTATAATTTTATTTCTGTGAATTTCTCTTGGAACCACGTTCAGTAAAAATTGTTTTTCTAGGTGCAACACCTAAGACTCGCCTATCACTTCCATCACCTCATTGTAACCTGAAGGACATCACCAATGTTCCGTTTCCTGAAATAAAAATCAGGAAACTTTCTCTTTCTCCAGAAAAGAATAAGGAAAGCACACCCATGTGTCTCCCCAAGCGCAGGTGCACAAGCAGTGTGAACTACAAGGAGCCAACATTAGCTTCGAAACTAAGAAGAGGAGACCCTTTCACAGATTTGTGTTTCTTGAATTCTCCTATTTTCAAGCAGAAAAAGAATTCAAGACGTTCTAAAAAAAGTTTAAAGTAAATACGGCACATCTCTTTTTGGGTGCTGTTTAAGTCTATCTTGTATCCTTTTCTGTTGCTCCGGCAGAGAATCTGTAAGACAGTATACAAGTGGGTGCAACTACTGCCATCGAATATTCTCTTCCTAGGAACCTGGATGTGAACATTTCTTCAAAATCACATTTTGTATAGCTTCTTATATGCCTAGACCCTTTGATTTTGTTCAAATTATATCATTTTCTGGCATCTTTTATGTTTCCTTTAGGTGGGGGAATACTGTTTTTTAAAACTAGGACAAAGATCTTTTGAAACTCCTATTTAATTTTTGGGTAAAATAAACCCTTGACATTTGTAGAAGGTATACCCTAAGTTTATGGATCTCTACTACTACTGTTGTATTTGATTCCTCAGATTTAAAGGTTTCCAAAGTCACAAGAGAAACAATGGTTGGTCAGGCTTATGAGCTAGTCTAGGGAATGAGTATGTGTTGAACTTGGCAGCTTGGGAAAACCAAGTTACCATGTCCTGGAGACTCAGAACTCCTGGCTGAGGCAAAAATCTCAAGTATTAACTATGTGAACGCTAAGGGCTTTTTTCTGTTTTAGATCAACTAGTGAGAAGAAATTAGTTCAATTCATAGTGTTTGACATCTATACTTGTATGCACCTCTTTAAACTTTTAGATCACTATAGGTGGTTCATTTTTAAAGAATAAAATTTATATAAGATAGCACTTGTACTCTCCTTCTATTCTTTAAATATATGGCTTTCTTGCTAGCTTTCACTCTTCTCCTCCTCTAACATTTTCACCCTCCTCCCCCTTTCTCTATACTCACTGCCAGGGAACTGCTGGCATCCAACCTAACATCTGGCTTCCAACTTTTCATTATATAGTCTCCATGTCTGTGAACAGTATTTTCTAATCTCAGGCTGAGGATGTGGCTGTGATAAGGCACTTACATACCATGTGATACCCTAGGCTTATTCCCCAACGTCAAAAAAAAAAATAAGTTCTACTTTCACCTGACCCAGGGTTTTTCTTGTTGGGTTGTGGGGATATTTTTTTTAAGATAGGGTCTCACTATATCCTCCAGCACGGCCTTGAACTCCCTATAGCACAGGCTGACCTCAAAGTCCTGCTACCTCAGCCATATTTTCTTGACTACACCTCTGTTGTCTGTCTGCACTATCAGTCACACTCAAAATGCTTTTTTATCCCCAATTTTCTTATCCCTTAAGTCATCAATCTGTACGTAATATTTCCCAGTCTCCTCTTACCATTTTTATCAATCACCCCTTTACATCTATTTTGTACACCTATTTTTGTGGTTCATGGAAACTACAGAGTGACTGCCTTCACTAAAACTAAATACAATTTAAAGTTCCTTTTTGCTGGGCATGATGGTGCACTCTTGTAATCTCAGCACTCAGGAGACTGAGGCGGGAGGATCACCATGAATTTAAAGCCAGTTTGGGCTACATAAGTGAGTTAAAGACCAGCCTGTACTACACAGTGAAACCCAACCTAAAAAAAGAATTTCAGTTTCTCAGTCTCAGAATATTTCACTAGTAGTTACCATATTGTGGACTACAAATTTCTATAATCAGAAAACTTGGTGGCCAGAGAATCAGCATCTGCTGTAATCAGCATTTGCATGTGTGTTGGAAACCTGAATTTCATTCTCACCTTTGGCTGTTTGAAAGGTGCTCTGTAGAAGTCTGTTTTGTACATTTTTAACTAATTGAACTTCTTGGATTTTTCTACAGTCAAAGAGTATTAGATCCTTGTAATAGCTGGGGTGTAGTTCAGTGGCAACTTTGCATAGCATGTGGGAGGCCCTGGTTTTGATCCCCAGCACCACAAAGATACTAAAAAAGAAACCTGTAATAATTTGCTTATTTGTAAAGGAAGTCGGACATGACTTTTGTTTTGCCAAGGTTGCTGCAGTTCAGTCATAATGATTTTTATTTCCCCCTGCAGAGCCTTGTTGTGTACTTTAAATCTGTACATGATACTGGTTGACAGTTGGGGCTGCAGGATTTTGGAGTTTCTGTTTTTGATGTTTTGGTGCTGAGGATAGGTCTTATCCATTCTAGGAAATCACTGTGCCAGGGAGCTACATCTACAGTCTTCCCTCTAGCTTTCATAAAGAATTTCCTCACTGTAGAACCAAGATCTCTAGTCAGTGATTCTGCAGCATCGTGTTCTTGAGAAATAGGATGTGGAGACTACCTGGAGGATGTAAGGTGAACCACTGATGTCTATTACTTTGGCAGAACTTTTATTTTTGCTGTTCAAGTACTGTAGTTGCCATGTCTGTCTGTCTGAATTCTGCCTTCATTGATATTGATTCTACCCTTAGCTATAGGAATGGACATTTCTGTGGTTTAAATAGAGAAAAAGAGTTTTTAAAGTATTGTGATGGAAATAACATGTCGTCACATACAAATAAAAGGACAACATCTTACCAGATAATGCTGCTCTAAGTCAGTAGAAGGCAAATTGTAGCCAATGATCCAAATGTAGTATACTATTTTTGGATGATCTGCAAAGAATGGCTTTTAAATAGCTGAAGAAAACTTTGGAATCAATTTTGATGACAGGGTATACTAATTTTCAACCCACATAAAATATGTAACATCAATTTTGCCTCTTGGGCAGCAAAGCATAAAATTATTTCTTTGTCCCTTTTTCAAGAGTTTGCTAATTATTACACTAGATCACACTGACTTTTTACTTCACAGATTTTTTTCTGAGACAGGGTGTCACTATATAGTAACATATCCCTGGCTAGCTCCAAACTTTCAGTGATCCTCCTGTCTCACTTTAACATTTTACATAAACCATACCATACATATCTTCTTGCAGCTGACTTTTTAACACTGAGATTTATCAATGTTGAATTTCACATACATACACAAATGCAGTTTGCTTTAATAAACCTAAAGATAATGTCTGCGTTTGTCATTGTTATGGTGTGGGTCTAGATAGTCTCCACAAACCCTCAGATTTTCTGGGGCTAGGTGAAGCTGGAGTGAATGGCTGATTCATGGCCCAATGCTGGGATTAAGGGGTTGAGTGTGACAGCCTCCCCAAGGTAGGTGGCCTGCATCCAAGCTAAGGGACTGACAGAGACAACTCCCCCTCTCATCTCTGCCTCTCTTTCCCTCATTGCTTTTGGCTCTTGCACACCATGAATGGTTGTCCCTCTGCCATGAGCCACTTTTCCTTGGAGCCAGCCAACTATGGACTAAAACCTTCCCAAGCTGAGCTAAATAAATCTTCCTATAAGAAGAAAGTAACTAAGTCACTGTTAGCTTCCTTTTTCTACAATGTTCTCATAAAGAAACCAGGTCATAAGCAGTTCATACATTACATTAAAGGGGGTTTTGTGAGGCCTGTGGTTGTTCCCTCGCCTCCTTTGTTTACATCACTGAACACCACTGCTAAGGGTAACGGCAGAGAACTTCCCCGTGGGGAAGAGTCAACAGTGGCCCAAAGCTCCTGCTGGGACAGGAATAAGGCAGCAACATTCTCCAGTATGCATTTTATTAGTAATAAAGGTCTATGTTAGTAATTATATGCCCTATTTTTGTTCCCTCTGGGTTCAGATTTTAGTACATAAGAGGAATCTCTGTGGAGTCCTCTTGAAGCCCAACAAGATACATATTTCCTAAAGATAGCATTGTGGGTAACAGTAGCAGCTCACATAGAAGATATTTAAAAATTAGCTTTATTCTTCTACTTCACAGGTGTAAAAAAAAAAAAAAAACCAAAACATTAAAAAAATCTTTGATTTTTAAGCCAATAATACTCTTCTGTAGATGAATTTTTGTTACTGTTTAGTGGATGATAGTGTACAAGATGTAGTGATCAAGTCAATGTCTCTCCTGTGGAAAATCTCACTAATAGGGTATGGAAGAAAAGTCAACAATTCCAAACAATCTTCAGCAAAGTTTAAGAGCTAAGGATTAAAGACACTGCCAATGGCAGCACCAGGTCCTCAGGCTATCAGAAGAAAACACACCAGACAGTGAACTTTTTAAAATATAATTTAAAACTATTTTGTACCAGTATAATATATTAAATTTTACAAATGTAAAATTTTTATCAGCTGTTAAAGCGTTTGCAAAAACCACACATCCTACTTCAGCTTTATTGCACAATATCTATAAGAAAATATTAATTTTTAAATTAGAAAACATAAAAATGCTTTCATATAGAAGAGACAATCTGATTTAAAGACAATATTCTATAAGAATGTCTACCCAGAAAATAACAAACTTTCACAGGATACCAAGCTGGACAGATGCTTCAGCAAATCCGCTACACAGCTCTGTTTAACACCAGTCGGAGATACTTAATTGAAACTATCATTCTTCATTAGAAATCTAGACACCACTCAGTGTGGTTTTCTGTACTTAAAAAGAGGCATTTTTCAGTGTGAGCATTCTGAAAATTTCTTACAGATTAAAAGCAACACTTCCAACCCAACAGCCACAAGCAGGTATCTTCCTTCATGCAGATTATCTGCAGCAAATGTTTTTAATGGTGAATGACCCATTTTAATTTATGCTGATACAAAACATAAGTTAAATACACTTTTAAAACTTCATCTTTTACAAAAATCAGTCTATAAATTTGTATCATAAAAATTAGTGTCGAGACAGTCGATGTGGTTGTTTATTAGTTTTCCCAGAGTTGCAGTAAATGATGGACAACTTTCCTATGTAGTGTAATCAGGAAATCATCCCAAGCACTGAGCTGGAATCCCACACCAGGATAATTAATTAGGGGTATGACATTTTAGTGAGATAAACCTGAATCGAATATAGCAATGCAGGTGTTCAAATACTGACAGCAAACCTTGGCAGGAACTTAATTCACCATAGGCAATAAACATTTTGAAGATGCAAAAGGAGAAAAAGGTTTACATATACATTACTGATATGGTTGTGTCTATTACAGAAAAAAAGTCCTCATTTACTAGAATAAGGACTCACCAGGTTGATACATACATAGACTGTACATATTTTCCTATTAAAGCTTGGTTCAATTTCAAGTGTTTTCAAGTTTATGCCTTCATGGCCTGGGAAATTAAGTTTTGGAACTTATGGCCTGCATAAGCAAAATCAAATATAATATCACACATTTGTGTAGAAATAGTGGTTATGCGCTCACAAACTTGTAGGTAGACAAATTATCAAAACCTCAGATTTATAAAAAGTTTGCATTATTTAGAATCTCTTCCTTAGGAATCAAAGCAGTTGCTTTTGTCAAACTGCATTTTTCAGAACTGCTCAAAGCACCTCATCTAGATGAGTGTTTTAAAAATATATATAAAAAGTCTACAAAGAGACTTCAGACATCACGTATTTCACTTTTTACAGGCTTCTCATGTATCCCTTCCTTTCAGTCCTTCATAATATAATAAAACTCTCACATTCCATTAGAAAAAAATGGAAACATTCATGGTCTGAAATTTTTCTAGATTCCACCAAATCTTGGTACTGTGTGCAATTTCCTCACATACAGGTTTTGAGGAAACCCTGATCATCTCTTATGGGCTAGTTGGCTAATGGACATGCCATAGAAAATTTCATAATATAGTAAATAGACAAAATCTATCCCATAAAATAAAAATATTCTATGACTTCAATTTAAATACACATCTGAAAAGCTAAAAGGAGGTTTTTTGTTTTTTAAAAGTGCTAATTATTACAAGTCTCTTCAACATTGTGTCCAATTTTTTTAAAAAAAACTAAACCACCTTGCTTTAGGCACACTGTTTGATGAGTTTCTAAGAAGCCGAGGGAAGAGATATCACTTGTCAATTAATCCAGCTTCCTTAATTTTACTGAAGAAGAACTTCTCCAGGATATTGGCACATTTGTAGTATTCACTCTCAGGGGGGTTGTACTCTTTGCAATTTGTAAAGACACGCTGTAAATCAGCCATGAATAATTTCTTAGACACGTAGTACCTATTCTTGAGGCGTTCGCTCATGGTTTTCAGATCTGCACAGGAAAAAAAAAGTATTAGCAATCTTTGACTCCATTTAAACACTGGGTGACAAAAACAAGACCAAAAAAATCTATATTGTTGGTTTAATTACATTTGTATCATCCCAGTACCTTTTAGATAAGTAATTCTGATCAAGGAAAAGAGTTCTTAAAACTTAGGTTCATTCTTTTGAGAGGGTTTTTTTAGTGTAAAAGCAGAGCCATTTTAATATTAAAGAAACCATTAATATTCATCTGGTCCAATCCTCTGTTGAGCACAAGGAAGCTAAGTAGACAAGCAAAGATAAAACTGACTAATGTGAGCTATTCATTCAGAATTACACAGAACAGGCCCATCTACACAGAGTAGAGCAGGTGGAATGTTCGTGTTGAAACATTTAATTACCTAAAACAATCATATTGAGTGTGCTAAAACTGACAATTGTTTTGGTGCTATGTATAGGATTAAAATAGAGAAACTAACAACCTATTTTTTTCTAAAGCAAACCTGTGAGACATGTAGAAAAATATTTTCCATATATATATACATACACACACACACACACTTTAGGTTGTATGATTCTAAAAATGAGAACAGTACCTCATCTAAGCTTTAACGATTGCAAATTGGCTTTCCTCACTCTCAAGATCAATTTAAAGGATTCTGTGCATATTAAAAGTCACTAAAATTTGGTTGTAAGTGCCTAGTTGTCTTTTAAGTATGGATCTATCATTTAAAAAATATAGTCATATCAACTATGTGTGGAAAAAGTAAATAAAGATGACTAAAGAAATACCAGTACCCCCAAATTCCCATTGTACTGTTAAACTGTCCAGAGGAAAAGAAATTTACAACCAAATACACTGGCATTATCGTTTAACAAGGTAAGTAAATTTATGTACAATGAGAAAAATTAATTTGCATCAAAACTCTAAATCCATAATTTAAAAAGTACAAAAATAAAATCCTAAATCCCCCACTTGAAATATCTTGTTCTGCTTATTTTTAAATCCTAACTCTAAAGGAGTATGTGTCATTACATGTCTAAGTTCAAATTTCAATTTTTCTTCTCTAACTGACACAGTCTGGAGCCCTTGGGGTGAAGGAGGGGGTGTCTGAAAGTGTTAAGATAAAAAAAATAATAAACTATAAATTCTCCATTTACTATCTCACCCAAAGGCAACTAAACACTTCAGGATGTCCTCTAGCTTAAGAAAGAAAGAGCGATGAAATAGTCACGCTAAGTATAATTCAGTGTTTTCATTCCTTCCAGCTAAAAGCCTCCCATTTAAGATACGCTGCCCAGCCAAGCACAGTGGTTTACAGACGCAATCCTCGCTACTGGGAGTTGAGGCAAGGGGTCACCATTTCAAGTCCAGTCTCAACAACTTAGAATTTGTCTCAAAATAAAAAATAAAATAGGGGCTGTGGCTGTGTGCAAAGATCACGAGTTCAATCCCTAGCTCTGGAGGAAAAAAAATTTATATATCTCCATCCATGATGTTTTTGTGGCAGTTTTCTTGAAAAAGTGAAGAGTAAGGGAGAAACTGGCTCTGCCGAGTAAAGAGGAAACACCAAGATAAAAGCACATCCTGGGGACACAGGGAAGGGCATCGTGGGAAGCCATGGTGGTATACGATGTTTTAAAAGAAACACGCAGCCAAAATAAAATTTTTTTTTAAAGGAGGGAAAAAATACACAAAACTTAACACAAAGAAGTTGGTGTAAAAGGTTTTTTAGGAGTGTGGGGGGCAGAAACAAAGCAAGAATAACAGGCAAGTGGACCTTCATGGGTAATTGTAATCAGGTCTAAATCCTTCCTTTCTATTTTAAAGCCGTACCTGGCACCTTTCTTCTTGCCTTCTTCAAGTCTTTCAATGGACTAAGTGGCAAGGGTTAAAAACATGACTAAATATTGGTGGCACCAACTAAAGACACCACTAAAGTCTTCTATTTTCATTCCCTCTGCCCCTTCCAGCCTGTGACTTCTAGGAAAACACGAAAACCCTGCCCACCATGCCCCAGGGAAGAAGTCACAATTGGTTTGACCACTCTCAGACAATGTCCTATGTGAAACAAGCTGGACACCATCCATCTGAGAAAAAAGTACTCCGAACTGGGAAAACAGAAGAAATATTTTTAGAAAAACCCACGAAAGCATTAATAGGAAAATTAAAATTATTGACTCATCAGTCTTGGCTTTAAATACATAACATCTTACAGGCAGGACTACATAATTTGCTCAGCATCTGAAAGCACCCAAGAAAAACAATCACTGGTCCACTAAAGGCACCTTTACTATTTTAACTTAGTCATCAATGGCCCTGCTCAGTAGGGTCAATTTTCCCTTCAAGAGCACTCAACTATACAGACAGCACTTCACACCTTTCTCATACAGTGAATAATTTACAGCAGACAGGATCCACCAGACCTACCACTGCAGTTCTTTATACAGTAGGTATTGATAGGGACTAAAAGGAGTTATTCTCTCCAAAAACTCAACAGCTTCCAATGAGGGTCTCCTAAAGAGGCCAAGAGGAGGCTAGGGTCATGGCTCAACGACACCACAAAAGATGCCGAGCTGTTCCACAAGATGGACATCTAAAAAACCACTTAACTAGGGCTGGGGATTTAGCTCAGCAGCATAAACACCTGCCTGGCAAGCACAAGGTTGCATGTTCGATCCCCGGTACCAAAAAAAAACACTTAACTGAACGCAGGAAATGGACACAAAGAATTTGAGAATATTTTTCACATAATAGAAACTGAGTTGCAAATCACCCTTTCAGAATTTTGAGTT